AAATTCTATTTCCTAAATACACAAGGTTTACCAATGCCTACATGAAATTTAACCTTTTTTATTTGTCACTTGCCACTTAGTGGCATAAAGAGCAATGCTGTTGATAAAATTAATTATGCTTGAAAGTCAATTTAAAATTCCATGATATTTGCTATAACAGATTGCAAACTACCTTCTGAATTTATTGTGGATTACAGCTGTATGCAACAGTTAGGAAAAAATTCCTAACTGTTGCATAAAGCTGTAATCCACGTTGATATTGTGAAAGTCAGCTTTAAGTGTGCTACGGAGATCTTGTAGCATCAGATGTATGTTTTTTCACCAAGGCTGAGTATTTATATTATTATTGACATTTACATAGCGTCAACAGATTCCATAGTGCTTTACAATATTACAAGAGGGGGAGATTTAACAATAAATGAATTGTCTCAAAAAAATTTACAGGAACAATAGGTTGAAAAGGACCCTGCTCAAACGAGCTTACAGTCTACAGGAGGTGGGATAAAAAACGCATTAGGACAGGAAATAGCAAATCAAATAAGGTGGGAGTGAAGCAGACCTGGAGGAAAGAGTAGAGTGCTGTCCTTTATCAGAGAGCAAGAGACAGGTATGTGAGGTAGAGGTTACTCTGGGAGGCCATAAGCTTTCCTGAATAGATATGGGTTTTAAGGCACTTCTATATATATATATATATATATATATATATATATAGTGGAAAATGTATTCATACATACCGTAATTTTCTTTTCCTGGCTATTATTCATGGCAGCATACAGACATGGGTTAGCTCCTCCCCTTACAGCCGATAGGCCAGGAAAAACAGGAAGGCTTTAAAAGGAGGTTCCATCCCTAAGGTTCTCAGTCAGTTAACAAGCTCTACAGTAGATAAATAGAGACATTGATGGGTGGGTAGTATATGCTGCCATGAATAATAGCCAGGAAAAGAAAATTATGGTAAGTATGAATACATTTTCCACTTTCCTGGCTAATCATGGCAGCATATACACATGAGGAATACCCAAGCTCACAAAGGGAGGGACAGAAACGTAAAAAATAGCCAATCAAATAATCAGAACAAGTCAACATAGATAGAAGAATGGACTGAGTTAAGTACTTGACGTACAAACGGTGCATCATAGACTGCTTTAACGAACAGTATGAAATGCCGGACAAATGTGTCGAAAGAGGTTCAAATGCTAGCCTACAAAAAGTGCCAGCAGAAACCATTGCCATGGCAACCCACGATGCTGCAACAGCACGAGAGGAGAGTGCCCTGACATGACGTCCAAAGCTTGCCTAATTGATCGCTTAATGCACAATATGCAATGCGGGACAAACAAGTACAAAGAGGTTCAAATGCCAACTTTACAAAGTTTCAGCAGAGACCATTGCCATGGAAGCCCACAAGATGCTGCAACAGCACTAGTGGAGAATGCCTTAAAATCCTTTGGTACAGGTAGAGAATGGCATTGAAAAGCTCTCACTTTAGGCAGGATCTCTGGTGCTAAATGCAAGACAACCACATCCTGTTGAAGTACAGTGAATGGAGGTACACAGGATCAAGCCTGGAGTTCACACATTCACCCTGCTGAGGTACCAGCCACCAGCAACAGCACCGTCGGTGCTACCATCATAGAAGTTCCTGCTAGAGGTTCAAATGAAGGTTTAGTCAGAGCCTGTGAGACCAGTGGTACGTCACATATTGGTTTCAACACCCTCAGTGGAAGCTTGAGTTCAATTGCTGCTTACATGAAGGAAAGCACCAGGGCATCAATGCTCAATGGGTATCCTTCGGTACAGGTAGAGAATGACCTTGATAAGCATTCACCTTAGGCAGGATCTCAGGTGCTAAATGCAAGACGGCCATATCCTGTTGAAAATTAGTGAATGGGGGCACACAGGATCAAGCCTGGAGTTCACTCCTTCTCCTTGCTGGGGTACCAGCCACCAGCACTTTCTGCGCTACCACCATGGAAGCTCATTCTAGAAGATCGAATAATGGTTTAGTCCGTAAGTAAAGGAAGCAACTTGCTCACATCCTAAGGGCTGTAGGACAGGAAAAAGACTGAGGACCTTAGGGATGGAACCTACTTTTAAAGCCTTGCTGTTTTTCCTGTCCTATCGGCTGTAAGGGCTGTAAGCTAACCCATGTGTATATGCTGCCATGATTAGCCAGAAAATATAAATAAATAAATATATATATATATATATATATATATATATATATATATATATATATATATATATATTATTTATTACATTTTCGAGATACAAGGAACAGACATTGCATTGACATGACATAAATGTACAGCAATATATATGTATAATCTTATCATATTGTCGGGTCATTATTTAATTTAAATACTTCAAATTGATAACACTATCAAAGATAAACAATGCAAACAAAAAGTCACTGGTCGGCTGAGGAGGATACAATAACTAATATTCAACAAACAGAACATATTCCTTCATAGTTACAACCTATCTTAATGGCAGACTATGTAGCTTTACTTAGTATTTTGGACAAACAATCTAACTAGAGTCAAATATATAAATCAATTCTCAATTACGGTACCCAACCAAGGTTGCCATCTTTTTTTTTTATACCAATCATTCTTTTCATAATTTATTCCTTTCTCCATTGTGTATCGATAGTTAAGTTGGTTCAATATATAGGGCCAGGAAGGGATTTCTTGTTTTTGCCAGAATCTAGAGATAGCAACATTGGCAGCCATTGTCAATTGAATTAACAGATATATTTTTGAGTTGATATATCTGAGAGATTAAAATAAAACATAATAACCTGAAAATCATTCCCAGTTTGTGACCCAAAAGTTTAACTACGGTAATTCGCTTTTTATCCTACTCCATATTGAATCCAATAAATGGCAATCCCACCAAATGTGCTTTGAGCTGCCCATACAACTCTTACACCTCCAACAAAGTGGGGAGTCTGCCGGATTAATTTTATCCATAATTTTAGGGACAAGAGGCCACTGATGTAATATTTTATAATGAAGTTCAGTAAGGTTTAAACAGTGTAGAGTTTTTTGTTTTTTTTTACTGATAATATGGACTTATACCATTGATCAATATGTACAGGGGTTTGAAAATCTTTATCCCATTTAATTTAGGTTTTTGATCTTTATCAGTTATTCTCAGTATTTAATAGCAGAAAGGAATGGTCTTAGATTTAAAATCACTCTCAAAGAGTTTATTCATTTTTTTTATTTATTTAACTTGTTCTATTCATCATTTAGAATATGATTTCTTATGCAGTTTCTCACTCTAAGATAAGTGAAAATCTCTTTGGGGGGTATATTATAATTCTGCTGTAATTGGACAAAAGGTTTTATCTTATTACCAAGAATAATATCTGAAATAGTCATAATGCCCGCTCTAATCCATTTTTTTTAAGTTTAAATATAGAAACATAGAAACATAGAATGTGACGGCAGATAAGAACCATTCGGCCCATCTAGTCTGCCCAATTTTCTAAAAACTTTCATTAGTCCCTAGCCTTATCTTATGGTTAGGATAGCCTTATGCCTATCCCATGCATGCTTAAACTCCTTTACTGTGTTAACCTCTACCACTTCAGCTGGAAGGCTATTCCATGCATCCACTACCCTCTCAGTATAATATGGTATTTTACCTTGTATAGTAATAATAGGGCTACCTTTAGCAATTTTATCTTCTTTCTATGTTAAAACCAGTGATACTATAATTTACATTCAATTGACAACATAAATTTAGTACTTGCTCCCTTATTAGGCCAAATCAGGGCAGGGAGGTCCCTAACAGGTTTTAAGGCACTTCTTAAATGATTGAATACTAAGGGAGAGTCTGATGGAGGGAGGCAGGTTATTCAAAAGGAAAGGAGCCGCCCGCAAGAAGGTCTGCAAGCGTGAATTGGCCATATGAGTGCGAGCACGGCAAGAATAAGGTCATGGGCAGAGCGGGGAGACCGTGTAGGGGCATACCTACAGATCAGTGAAGAGATAAGAGGGGCTAAAATTGGTCAGTTTGTTTCGAAGAGACGAGACAGAACCTCTGACTACGATGCTGCCTGTAAAGCAGGTGAAAGGGCCTCTTCATAGCTACCATCTTACACACCATAAGTATGTTTCACGAGTCCTGCTGTGCAGGGAAAATTTGCCTTTAGTGGGATGCAAAAAAACAAATAAGGTAGGTAAACCACTACCACTTAGTGCCTACAGAGATTGGCACTACCGGTATAGGTAAAACCACCTGGTACCTAATGGAGGCTCCAAGGGGCTCCAGGGGCCTAACCCCAAAACCTTCTGACGAAGGTGCTAGTAAGAGCACTGAAACGCGCGTCAGGCGTTTTCACTGTCCGTTTTTTCGGACATCACTGGTTTGCCCACATATTCCACTTTATGGCACTGTAAGGCTTCTTTGACACCTATTATATTAATAGATAGACTTATTAATATGTAGATATCGTTTGCTTTATCACTTTTTGAGCTTGATAAATATATGTAAGCTAGGGCATTGGATACTATGTTGCTACCTTGACGGTTACACAGTCTGTTCAGCAACTTTCTGCTATTTTCCCTCTACATATTCACTTCCATTTTTTCTTGCTCTGTCTAATAGATATGCCGTGGGCACTCTAAGCGCCACGATATCTATATCCTCCTACTAATTGTATATATTTACATTCTGGATATCTTTACATCAGTCCATACTATATACCTGATTTGGAATCTCCCTTCTTAGGTACTTTATACTATTGTTTAGAGGATTTTTCTAGTGGTTACTTTCTGGTTATTGTATCCCTCTATCCCTTTTCCTGTTAGTTTCAGCTATTTGATATTTTAGAGGACACATTTGAGCAAAATTTATTAAAGCTAATTTTTTTGTTCTATTTTGGTCTATACATATGTACACTACATATTAGGGATACGGGATACTATCAGTCTATCTATAGTTTAGCTGTATCATCACAAGGAGATTTATATATTTTTTTTTTTCATTTATTTATCTATATTTGTTTGTGAGACTACTTTATTTTGCTCCAGATTCATGCAGTTGGATACACCTGCTTTTTGCAGCTGTTTCTCTCTGTATGTTTCATCTTTTTTCTTTAGTGGGATGCAATCAGGGTTTCTTGCCTTTGGGGGATAGATACATAGCTATTTAGATGGCCTTGGTTTCTGGCTATACTTGTTGCTGCAGCATAATAGGAAAGCAGAGCTTCTGACTCAAATCAGATCCAGGACACACCCCATAAACAATTAGGAAAAATTATTAAAACTATACAAGCTTTCTATATGATGGTGTTAAAGTGGCACAGTCATGTTTTTTCCCCCTTTAGCTTTCCTTTCCTTCTGCCCCTAGTATTTGAATAAGTATTCTCTGCCTATTATCACATGCTTTTATTTATAATCAATACTTCCTGATGCCAGACCTCGATATCCAGGCAACTCCATTTTGTTTTCTGTCCATGATGTCTGCAGTTTCAAAGTTATAGAGCTGTTTTAACCATCTTCAAGGGGGAAAATAATTGGTCGGGCAGGGCCCAACTGTCATGGTGTAGAGACATCTCCTGAGTGAGCTCCTCCACTATTTTGAAGAAATAAGCATTTTTCTAGGCTCTTCTGGCTATGGTGACTAAAGCCATCACATTATCAGATCCTCACCTTAGGGGACTCACCGTGAAGTAATCCGCCACACTACCAGAGCTTGTTTACTCCACATTCAATCATGCGGCCTAGCGCACCCCAGGCGGGAGAGGTGGCCGATTTCCATGTCAGGGTTCTGTTTTGGGACCACTTCTATTTAACATATTTATAAATGATCTTGAAATAGGCATTGAAAGCCATGTATCAGTGTTTGCAGATGACACAAAACTTTGTAAAGTAATAAAATGTGAGCAGGATATTGCTTTGTTGCAGAGAGATTTGGATAGATTGGGGGACTGGGCACTAAAATGGCAGATGAAATTTAACATAGAGAAATGCAAAGTTATGCACTTCGGGGTTAAGAATGCACAAGCAACTTACACACTAAATGGTAGTGAATTAGGGATAACCACACACGAGAAGGATTTGGGCATTGTTATAGACAACAAATTAGGCAGCAATATGCAATGTCAATCTGCAGTTGCTAAGGCCAGTAAGATTTTGTCATGTATAAATAGGGGCATAAATTCTCGGGATGAAAATATAATTTTGCCTCTGTATAAATCGCTGGTAAGACCACACCTTGAATATGCTGTGCAATCTTGGGCGCCTGTTCTAAAGAAGGATATCATGGCACTGGAGAGGGTCCAGAGACGAGCTACAAAATTGATAAAAGGAATGGAGCATTTTAGTTATGAAGAAAGGTTACAAAAATTAAATCTGTTTCGTTTGGAAAAACAGCGCCTGAGAGGGGATATGATAACTTTATACAAATATATTCGGGGCCAGTACAAACCTTTATCTGGAAATCTATTCATAAACAGGGTTATACATAGGACACGAGGTCACACATTTAGGCTGGAAGAAAGGAGATTTCATCTAAGGCAAAGAAAAGGTTTTTTTACAGTAAGAACAATAAGGATATGGAATTCTCTGCCTGAAGAGGTGGTTTTGTCAGAGTCCATACAGATGTTTAAACTGAAATTGGATAAATACTTACAAAAACATAACATACAGGGATATAATTTCTAATTAGTGGGGTAATAGCTGATTGATCCAAGGAGACATCTGACTGCTATTTTGGGGTCAAGAAGGAATTTTTTCCTAGTTTGTGGCAAAATTGGAAGTGCTTCAGACCAGGTTTTTTGCCTTCTTTTGGATCAACAGCAACAACATTTCTGAGGAAGGCTGAACTTGATGGACGCAAGTCTCTTTTCAGCTATGTAACTATGTAACTATGTAACTATGGAGGTGCACAACAGACCTCCAGAACAAGCTAATGCCCCATTACCCCCTCTCTAGACCAACGGGGTTAATCGTGGTCCATCCCTGGGAGGTAATAATGTCTGGGAGGCTACATGGGGCAGAGTTGCAGGAATAGCTGAAACAAGCGGTGACTCACCCAGCATGGCAGACGCCGCGTGTTCACACAGCTTAAGCTCAGACACCTTGATATTTCAGCCAGGCTGACTCTCATCGTTGAAGATATTTGGCGGAACAGAGGATGCACCAACCTGACCCACTAGAAGCGAGCACCTACGCACCCAGAGTGCCAACCCTTCCTCCACATCAGAAGCCCTCAACTCACACTGAGAAGAAGGCCCCAAGATGGCAGAAACACAAACTCCATCCTTTGCCTCAGCGTCGACCGACACAAGAAAGGGAGCCCTAGCAGTACATATCGGGATTCCAACGAATGTCGGAGGTGCGGTGAAAAAACCCAGATGCTACGAAGCTACTTCCACATGGACACTACCCACCAGTAGGTAGGCTCGGTGCCTATATACTGCAGGACTGTGTTCACTGTAAGCGTGAATACAGCTATCTACAGCGGCCTGCAATAGGGCCCCCACGTGGGATATTGATTCTCAGGAAACAACCAACCGCGACATGGCTCTGGAGTCAACAGCAAGTACCTGCAATTCTTCTCTGTACAGCTGGACTGTACTCTGCCCTCTGAGGGCATAGGCTAAGAGGGGGATGAATAGTGGTAATCACATTTTATTATTTGTATTTCTCTTACCACCTATATTCCTTGATAGGGGAAAGTGTAATGACATTAATTTTTCGGGCCCCTGATGGCTACCGCATTTAAATATTTTATTGTTTATGATTTGTGGTCCTGAAGGCTCACACTCCGTTATCCTGTTACCCCTTGCATAGGGATTAGAGCTGCCGCGGTGAGGGCCTCCTAGGGGGATAAAGCTGATTGTTGTGCGACAAACTATGTGTCAGGATCAAAAAAAAAATCTAAATTCTGAACTTTATTCACTTTTCTTAAATTTGTTCCTGCAGTGACTAATATTTGCCTTTAGTGGCCTCCCTAACCACTATCATTGAGATTTCCATCTCTACCTCACCTGCCTGGGTTGATTACTTCAGCTACAAAAGGCAACACCCAGCTCAATACTGAGCCTTTGCATTGAAGTTGTTGATTTGCCTGGACCACTTCAGATCCTGGCTCCTGTGAACCAACCTGTGGACTTTGCTTCAATTCTGCTCAATGACACTGTTGTGGCAATGAAAGCATTGCTGGTTGTTGCGCCTTTAACTTAATGTCTGGTATCACTAGGGCAGTGATGGAGAACCGGTGGCACGCTGGGCCCTTTCTGTGGGCACGCAGCCACAGGTTCGCCATCAATGCAGAGTAGGCACCTGCCTGCCCGAAACGGCAGGCGCCTACTCTGCTTCCGGGTCGGGAGGCAGGGGGAGGGCTCTAGGAAGCAGCTCCCCTGTCCTCCCGCGCGATGCTGTGTGGAGCGTTGCCGCGCGTTACTATGGCAATGCTCCACACAGCATTGCGCAGGAGGACAGGGGAGCTGCATCACAGATCCCTCCCCCTGCAGTGCTTACCACCACCGGACCACCAGGGATGGCTGTGTGTCGCCCCCCCCACCCCCACTTCATTAAAGGTAAGAAGGAAGGAGGGGGGGTATACTGACACACAGCACCCCTACCCCCCCAGAACTAGCCCTACCCCCCAGCACCCCTACCCTCCCCAGCAGCACCCCTACCCTCCCAACAGTACCCCTACCCTCCCCAGCAGTACCCCTACCCTCCCCAGCAGTACCCCTACCCCCACACACAGTACCCCTACCCCCTAGCAGTACCCTACCCCCCCCCACACACAGTACCCCTACCCCCCACACACAGTACCCCTACCCCCACATACCCTAGCAGTACCCCTACCCCCCACACACAGCACCCTTACACATACAGCACACACACACACAGCACACACACACACAGCACACACACACAGCACCCCCCCACACACACACACAGCACCCGTCACATACAACACTCACACACACACGCACCCCCCACACAAGCACCCCCACACACACACACAGCACCCCCCCACCTCAATGCAGTATGTGTGTATTCAGCAGTGTGTGTGTGTATTCAGCAGTGTGTGTGTGTATTCAGCAGTGTGTGTGTGTGCGTGTATTCAGTGGACTGTGTGTTTGTACTCAGCAGTCTGTGTGTGTGTGTACTCAGCAGTCTGTGTGTGTGTGTACTCAGCAGTCTGTGTGTGTGTGTACTCAGCAGACTGTGTGTGTGTGTACTCAGCAGACTGTGTGTGTGCATTCATCAGTCTCTGTATTCAGCAGTCTTGTGTGTGTGTGTGTATTCAGCAGACTGTGTGTGTATGTATTGCATTTGTTGGAGATACTAATAAATATAAGCTTAATTTTATCTATTTATATCATTATTTTAAATTTGTATCATTGAACTCTGTGTTCTTTTAAAACAAAAGTTATTAGTTCGGACAACAGTACGAGTTGTTTTTTCTAAACTTAAACCTCAGTATTTGGGTTTAATTGCCGTGTTGGCACTTTAAGGAGAAAAAAAAATTGCGGTTTGGGCACTCGGGCTCAAAAAGGTTCGCCATCACTGCACTAGAGCATGGAACTTACACCTTTAAAGGACCACTCTAGGCACCCAGACCACTTCAGCTTAATGAAGGGGTCTGGGTGCCAGGTCCCTCTAGGATTAACCCTTTTATTTATAAACATAGCAGTTTCAGAGAAACTGCTATGTTTATAATAGGGTTAATCCAGCCTCCAAATCCTCTTGTGGCTGTCTCATTGACAGCCGCTAGAGGCGCTTGCGTGATTCTCACTGTGAAAATCACAGTGAGAACACGCAAGCGTCCATAGGAAAGCATTGTAAATGCTTTCCTATGAGACCGGCTGAATGCGTGTGCAGCTCTTGCCACGCGTGCGCATTCAGCCGAAAGGGAGGATCGGAGGCGGAGAGGAGGAGGAGAGCTCCCCGCCCAGCGCTGGAAAAAAAGGTACGTTTTAAACCTTTCCTCTCCCCAGAGCCGAGCGGGAGGGGGACCCTGAGGGTGGGGGCACCCTCAGGGCACTATAGTGCCAGGAAAACGAGTATGTTTTCCTGGCACTATAGTGGTCCTTTAAGATGGAAGAACTAATGCACTTGAGCTGTGGTCAGAACTTTCTATTAGCCGACACCGGATATGATGCCAATTAGTACAATACTGAGCTCTAGATAACTGTATTATATATTTAATGTTGATTATCAGGTGTAAATTAGTTCTAAATAGGTTGGGTGTGGGAGAAATGATAATGCAATGCAATTTTACAGGATAAATTAAAAGTCCACATTGTGATCATGCACTTCATCTATTCATCTTCCTCTCAAAATAGAAAATACCTTCCTTCTAGATAGGATAAAGTTAGCGTAGTGAATCTTAATATTTTGCATTTAGTTGAACTGATAATCCACATTTAGTATACATACATGTTTTGCATTTATTTTATCTTCAAGCTCAAACATTAGCATTAACTTGTAGTAGTTCTGTGCCCTGTTGCAGTTTCTCTTTGACCCAATAGTGTTCTAAGTATTTATGATTTTTCTGTGTTCTTGAACCATTGCTTACTCTGATTCGTGCTACCCTTGACGTGGCTCTGTTTGAGCGATTATTTGATTTCTGATATCCCCTAAATGTTAGCTTGTCTAACGTTTATTGTCCTGCATGAAAGCCCAGCCACTTCTAAGGACCGGTAACATGTTTAATCTTTATTTTGTTTTGAATATGTTTATTGTTATCACATCATAACTTCCATTTCAAACTTAGTTTTGTTTTTAAGCGGGTAATCGCCTACGCAGAGGCGCTGTTATCTGTTACATGAGTCGGAATGCCATTTATTGCCCGCGCAAAGGCAAGTTAATCATGACGTTTGTAATACATGTCTGATCAAAGTAGTGCATAGTACATTTTACACTTAACTAACGACTACCTTATTTTGAGAGTGAAATGAGTGTGGTATTTTCTAGCAATGCTGTGTTTTTGTCCTTGATGCCTTTGTCTGCGTATTAATTTATTTTGCCATGAACTGCAGTTGAGACATAGTATGCAATAAAGGGCTAGTGTTTTATTTGCATATAGCCCAGAGATGCCTTATGAAAATAATGTTCTTGCTTACTACCAGAAATTAAAGCATAGTTATTTAGTGCGTTGTTTATGTGTCTAACATGTTTGTACAGGCCATGATATGTTATAAATGTATTTTGAATCCGGTCTATGAATTCTAATATTAAGTGCTATCTATGTGATGCATAGAACTTTCCTTTGGGTTTCTGATTGTATATAAACCACCGACTTTAACATTAGATATACAGGTAGCTATAGATTGCAACACAGTAATACTTCCTTGTGGCTACCGCAGAGTTATGATCCCAGTTTGATCCTATTCATATAGCCGTATTTAAGAGACACAACAATAAAATTTGTGCACTGTGTGCTTAAAGAGTGCACTGTGTTCCTAAATAAGGGAACATGCATATGGCTACCAAATCTATTCTCAGTTATATGATATAGTAAATAAAGGTTACAAATTTAAGAAATTATAGCATAAACATGTTACTGAGGCTTTTCAGTCCTCAAGAACCATCAAGCATAAAACCGGAACACAACGTAGATAAGACATGATGCTGCATAATGTACAGCTTTATATGGTGCTTCTCGAATAAACAAAGGGTCAGCTTTTTGCGCCTTTGGTTGCTTTCGCTGAGGCGAATTTGTCATAGCCAGTTTAACTTAACCGTTTGGTACATAGCAGAGTACTTTGCTTTTTACACTCTAATAATCTGTGATGCCTATTTGTTTTCGTTAGGGCTGTGGGTGAGCAGTTGCGTGCTGCTGCCCTTTGCTTGCTGCCCTGAGCTCTAGTGTGTCGTGTAGCTATTTGCTCGTGTGTATTGAGGTTGTATTGGCTTTGTATGTTTCGTAGCTGTCCTCTTTGCTAGATATGTTAGAGCCGTTTGCAGTAGGTCTGTGTCTCCTCTATTGTATGTGTCTGTGTTTTTACCTGTGTTGTGTTGCTTTACTCCAGAGCTCTGTGTGTCTGCCTCTAGTGTTGCGTCTTTGTGGCTCATGTTCCGGTGTTCCTGAATCGTTTTCCGTGTGTACCTTCCATGTGGTCGTGGTGTTGTCATGTTTAGACGGATTCACTTGTGAACATGGCTGTAGTGTTGTCCTGTGGGGTTTGGGATGGATCGTATAGGTCGGTATTTGGGCTGTGTGTGCGTGTGGTGCATGGATTGTGTGGTTTCGCAACTCCTTTCAGTTCCTGTCTGGCTTCAGTGGCTGTCGGCTCTATGTTGTAACCGTCTGTGTGTTTGTATTGGGCCTGATTTCAGGTATCGCAGTTTGTAGTTGCAGCGTTTTTGATGTGTCCGTGGAAGCGTGCCCTCTAGTCGGATGTGTTTTCCGTGTGTGCTCGGCGCGCGGCTGCTTGTATGTGGTGTGTGTTCACTTGTATAAGTCCCAGTCAAGTATGTTCGTTGTCTCGGCTTCAGTAGTCCTTTGGATGTATGTCTATACGTATGGGCGGGTCGTGTCTTGTCTGTGCGTATGTGAGTGTTATGAGGGGGTGATGGTGGGTGATTCCATCCCCTGTTGCTGTCCCGGTTCGCCGTTCTCCATCTCTTTACATTGGTGCTTTATTTATTTTGGTTTAGTACTCTCCTCCCCCGCCTACTGTGTCACCATGCGGTTCTGAAAAGCGTCAGAGGCGGTTAGTCTAATCCAGCGATCTTCACGTCTTCGAATTTCCTGGTTGCTAATGTAGCGATCTTCACGTCTTCGAATTTCCTGGTTGCTTCTACCTCTTCCACCCATCTTGCGATTGAGGGTGTGGTAGCCTGCTTCCAGGAGATTGGGACCGTCGCTTTGGCCGCGTTTAAGAGCCGCGGGATGACAGATTTACTGTATGTCGGTTTAGACCTATCTGTGTGATGAAGGAGGAATGTTGCTGGGGATTTTGGAAGCATTTCGTCTGTTATTTCATGTATTACCTCTCTAACTGTGTTCCAGAACGGTCGAAGACGTGGGCATGTCCACCAGGTGTGTATGAATGTACCTCTCTCATTTCCACATCTCCAGCACGTGTCTGAGACTTCCGAATTCCTGGTATAGAGCGCTGTCGGTGTCAAGTACCATCTGGTGTATACTTTGTATGAGTTTTCTTGCAGCCTTGCTGAGCTAGGCGTTTTTTGTATCAGGGTGATGCTTTTGTCACAGTTCATCTAGGTCTTCCTCATGGGTTCATCTAGGTCTTCCTCTCAGTTTCTCATGCAGGGGGGTGCCAGTAGGTACCTACCAGTGACTAGCATTGCATATATCTGCGAAATGGCACGTGGTGTGTCCTTATCTTGCGTACAGAGTAGTTCGAATTGCGTGGGTTCTCTTAGCAGGGATGGTTTTTGTGGGATGGATCGAGCATGTCCGGCTATTTGTGCTTCACCAGTGTGTGTGAGAAGGTAAGCGTCCTGTCTGGAAAGAGGTCAGTGACGGAGCGGTCATCAAATGGTCGCTGGAGGACATCCATCATGCGGGGATTGTGCGTCCTACCGGGCCCGGCGTGGGGCCGCGGTCTCCTGCTGGGAAGTCTGGGTTGCCTCTTAACGGCAGTAGCGGGCCTGGGTCCGTTGTGAGGTACTGCTTCGTGCCTTGCCTGTGCCAGATCTTCATGGTCACCGCCACAAATGGGTTGGTGATATGTTTATGCTTGTATGTGGCCCTGGGTATCCATGGTAGAGTTCGAAGGTCGCAGTTAGAGATGTCGGATTCTAACTGGGTCCACGGTTCCGTTCCGCTGGCAACCGACCAGCTGGCGACTCTGGTGAGGTGCGCTGCCTGGTAGTATTTTTCAAAATCGGGGAGCGCCAGGCCTCCTCTGAGTTTAGGAAGGGTTAGTTGATCGTGCGCTATGGGTGGGGATTTGCCCTTCCATATGAACGTGCGGACCTCTGCCCATAGTGTCTTGAAGAAGGTTTGTGGAGCTAGTATTGGTACAGTTTGGAACACGAAGAGAAGTTTTGGTAGTAGCGTCATCTTGACGGCATTTACTCTGCCTAGCCACGAAGCGTAGAGAGAGCTCCATTTATTTAGTTCTTCCGTTGCTTTTTTTAGTATGGGGAGGTAGTTGTGGGTGTAAAGGTCTGCCGGGTTGGGTGTGAGCCATACCCCTAGGTACCGCATGCGTTGGTCACACCAGCGGTATGGGTGTTGTCTTTGGAGTGTTCGTTTATGGGCGTGGTTGATGGTGAGGTTGAGGATCTCCGATTTAGTGTAATTTATTTGAAGGTTATTCTTCGAACTCTGCCTGCATCACCGGCAAGGTGGTCTCTGGATGTGTGACCACAAACAGCATGTCGTCCGCATATGCTAGAGTTTTGTGTTGTGTTGTTCCAATTACGAGGCCCTGTATGTTTATGTTTTGTCTGATCCTCTGCAGAAACGGCTCCAGCGTCAACGCGAAGATCAAGGGCGTTGATCCATTGTACGGTTTCGTCAGTGCTCCGTTTATCCGGATTCGTGCCGTTAGGCAGGTGTAAAGAGCCTGTACCCACGTAAGGTAGTTAGGTCCCATCCCAAAGGCCTGGAGGGTCGCAAACATCATGTCCCAGTCCACCCTGTCAAATGCCTTTTCCGCGTCTGACGATAGAAGGAGGGTCTGTGTCTTGTGTGCTCTAGCGTGTGCGATGATGTTCAGGGCTCTGATGGTGTTGTCCCTCACCTCCCTGCCGGGATAAACCCTGTCTGGTCCGGGTGAATTGAGTCCGGCAGTAGCGGTGCTAGTCGCGTTGCCAGAATGATCGCCAGGAGTTTGATGTCTGTATTAAGCACTGAAATTGGGCGGTAGTTTGGGCATAATGTCGGGTCTTTGCCCTCCTTTGGGAGCAGGGTAATGTTCGCCGAGATGAACTGTGCCGTCGGTGCAGCTCCGTCCTGGACGGAATTCAGGGCTTTAAGTAGTTTCGGTTGAACCTCTTGCGTGAAGATCTTGTAGTATTGGAGGGGCAGTCCATCTAGTCCCGGTGCCTTGCCCGTTTTAGCTTTCGTGATGGCGTATGCCAATTCTTCGGGTGTTATAGGCGCTTCCAGTGCTTCTCTGTCTGCTTCCGTTATTTCTGGTATATTTGCAGAGTCCAAGTACTTGCGTATGTCCGCTGATTTATGAAGTCTCTGGTCGTCCTGTGCTTCCTTTCGGAGGTGGTAGAGGTCTTGGTAGTACCGTTGGAATTCCGTTGCTATTTGGTCAGGGAGGTGTTTGATTTGTTGCTGTGCGTTTTTTATTTTCGGTATATACAGTTGTGTTCTACGTTGCTTCAGGAGGTTGGCTAGCAGTCTCCCGCATTTATCTCCGTGTTCGTGTATCATGTGTCTGTAGTGTTGGTATGAGCTTTGGATCGTTCTGTTAAGGTGCGTGGTTAGTTGGTTTCGCTTGTCTGTTAGCTCTCTGTATATCATCATTTCTAGGGTTCATTTATGTCTGGCTTCCAGGATCGCAATTTCTCCGCTGAGCTTGGTTATTTCCTGTACTGCCGCCTTTTTGTGGGTCGCGCATATTGCTATGATGTGGCCCCGTACTACCGTCTTGTGTGCCTCCCAGCAGGTCATCGGTGTCACATCCTCTGTTTCGTTATCTTGGAAGTAGTCCCGTATTATTTGGCCTATTTTGTCTGTCACTATCACATCCGATAGGATTGATTCGTTCAGTCTCCAGGACATCTGTCTGGGCTTGAATAACAGTGATTTCATCCGTATGGGGATCGGGCAGTGGTCTGACCACGTCATTGGCAGGATTTCTGCTGCTTTGAGTAGGGCCAAGTTGTGGTGTGACATTAAGAAGTAGTCTAGCCTCGTATAAGTTGAGTGGGTCTGCGAGTAGAAGGGATAGTCCCGTGTCGTTGGGTTTAGCGCTCGCCAGCAGTCTGCCAATTGGTGTTGGCGTAGTAGGCGGAGAGTGTTCGCATGTCTATTATGCGGGGTTGTTCCGAACGCAGATATAGAATCTTGATCTGGGTGCACCCCCTACGATCAGAGTGCCTTCTGCGAACTTCATCAGGGTATTTAGTGCGTTCCGAAGGAAGTGGAATGGTTTCGTGTTCAGGGCGTAGACATTGGCGAACGTGTAGGTTTGTTCGAGGATCGTGTCTTTGGTGAAGATATACCTGCCCTGTTTGCATCTGGCGGTGGCTTGTTCTGTGTGGGGTTCTGCTGGAGAATAGGATACCTACTCCCAGCGTGCGTCTGTCCGGGTTGTTGCTAAAGTATCCCATTCTAAAATTGCGGTCCTTCAGTGCCGGAGCTCTTCCTTCTTGAAAGTGCGTTTCTTGGAGAAACGCTATTGATGCCCTGTAGTGTTTCAGGTCTCGCAAAAGTCTTGTGCGCTTCTCCCTGACATTTAAACCTTGTGAGAGTATGAGAGTATGGTTAGGTCTTCCCTGTTAAATCTGCCAGGTCCCGAGTCTGGCATCCTCTGAAAGGCCACAGGGGTGGATGAGTCTGTTGTGGGGTACGGTTGGGGAGTATGTGAGTGTGTGGTGTTGTACCGCCGTGTGTATGGTCAGAGTTGATACTTGTTCTGCGTCTATTTACTTCGACTATGTGGCTTTTGTAGTTCTGTAGGTTAATGGACAGTCGTCCCGGGTGTTCGACCGTGCGGCCCGGTCTGTATGGGGGCTGGGTCTATTTCGGGAGTTGTGTGTCCCCTGACAGGTGGGGATTCCTATGTCCTATGCCTGTGGGGGTGTGGGGCTTTCCGTCTGTGGCGGCTCAGTCCGCTTCGGGACGTCTAGTGGGTCTACGTGTATTTTTTCAGTACTATACGCAGTCCTTGGTCTGTTATCTCCTAAGTGGTTATGTACTCTGAGCACCCGCTCTGTGCCTTATTTTGTAGGGAGTATGGATCTCTGAGTGCGTGGTGTGGCAGTCCGTGTCTGCCTCTTTGGTCTGTTATCTGCTCGTGTGCAAGGATTGGTTTGTTTGATGCCGGCTTGAACTGGGCCTAGCTGTCACATGAGGTGGGGGCGCTTTGGCATGAGGTGCCTTGGGAGTCGTATCGGGCCTGCAGGGTTTCTCCGTTTGGTTTGGGTGTAGCTGTGATTCCCTACCCCAATACTTGTCCCCTGTCGCCGCATGGTATGGGGCGGCGGTGGGGGTTTGAGATGTCTGGGGGAAGGCCCCCATGTCACCAAGTTGCATACAATATCTAGAACCTGGATTGTTATCTGGTGCGTTGCTCCGGGTCGGCCTGGAGGCTGGCTTGAACTAGTGTGTTTGGGTTTCCAGTGTGTGCCGAACATCACGCATTTATCTGTGAACATCGTACAACGTACCTGTCTGGCTCCCTATTGTATTGGTCCTGCTCGCGTCTAACTATGGGTTGTGTGTCAGCTGTCCCTATGTATGCCTTTCCAGGTTCCCGTCTCCCTAGATATGGGCTTCGTATGTCCCTGGTGTACTTGTGTGGCTCTTCCCCGGCATCTAGGTGGTGCCCTGGCTTCCTTCACCTTGATTTGTGTCGTGTCCCTTCACCTGGGAGTTTTGGGTGTGTGAGAGGGGGAGAGAGAGAGGGGGAGAAAGAGAGGGGGGTGGAGAGGAGGGGGGAGGGAGGGGGAGAGGGAGAGCGAGGGGGAAGGGGAGAGGGAGAGAGAGAGAAAGAGAGTGTGTGTGTGTGTGTGTGTGTGTGTTACAGAGATACTGTTTGTTATCAGTACTATCTTTGTGTATATTTATTTATCCCCCCGACCTTTTAATATGGTTCCCTTCTCCCGTCCTCTTCCCACCCTGTCGTTGTACTGCTGTAATCTTTATGTTGTAACTGTGTCAGGGTTTATATCTGTGCCAGCAGGAAATTAGAATTTTTAGGTCATAATAACGGAAAACTCTCTAATAGTGGCTAAAATGTGCAATTCTCTATTCTTAAAAACAAACAACAAATTAAATAAATCCCTTGCATGGTTTTCAATTCAAAGTAGTAATCTGAAGTAATTTTCTTGGTTTTGGGGCTACAATGCTTACTTGTTCAAGTGGGTCCTTATCACTTCTTAAAAGAACACACAGCTGTATTCCTAACACTGTGGTGTCCCTGTGTCCCTCTGCCCCTGCTGCCCCCCACAACCATGTAAAGGGTTAAACACTTTAAAAATACCAAATTACAGTGCCAATGATCCTCAGCTCTGCGTCGGGCTCCTTTTTCTCCAAGTCAGCCGATGAAGGAAAGTGCAGTGCGTGTAAACATTGCAGTTTGTCTAAAATATATTCTGCAGGGTTAAGGGAACAGGGACAGTGCACCCAATCCAATAAAATGGAGTGGTCTGGGTGCCTATAGTGTCTCTTTAGCGCTACATGCTGATTTGTTTGTCATGAATTACATGTCTGTTTCATTTAGCGGATTTAATATTTTGGTATTATCTTTTCAAATGATCACAATCTATTAGAAAAAATGTTTCAAATGAATTATCTACAGAAATTCCCACAGACTTTAAGGGTAATTTCTGTAGACAACACATATATATATATATATATATAATTAAAATAAACACCACTGCCTGTCAAGGTTATCAGCTCATCTCTTTGCCCCTGTCAGTCAGCATAGAGGAAGAATTTGCCATGGAGGGCTGACTTTTACGTAAAAAATGGAGGGCCCAATATAACAGATATATTTCTATATCTATAGTGGCATGCAGTGTTTACATTTAATATTACTGTGAATCTATGCCAAACACATGTAAACGGTAATATCACAGAGCGCCACAAAAAAACTGTATTGAGTGGTGCATTAGTGTATCACAAAGATCCAAAGCAATAATACTCAGTAATATTTTATTACTAAAGAGCATTGTAATAGTCTCATTTTCCCCCACAATATACAGGTCCCCTTCCACTTTCTTACCTTTCCATGCAGTGATGAAAGGCTCATCCTTGGTAGTTTAAAATTGAGTTTCTTTAATTTTTTTCAGGCATGAATGATAACACAGGTATTAAACGACACTACAGCATCAATTAATCATGGTTACAGGAGTTGTTGTGAGAGACATTAGTATTGCAATAGACTTGCCCTTTATATATATATATATATATATATATATATATATACACACATACACATATACATGAACATATGTGCTTCAAAGCGCTCGCACTAACGTAGGGAACAGTTTATAGGGTATCCTTGCTTTTGCATTTAGCCCCTTACCAGGGACGTGCTGTAAGCAGCGACTGTATCAAGCGGTGGAGCTCCGCGTGGAGCCTCAGGCCCTGGTCGATTTTGGCAGAGGGAAGCAATGATCGAATTGCATTCCTTTGGCTTAGCGTTGGTGTAGGAGAGTGGCCAACAGGTATCTGATAAAGAGTGGGAGTTCTTGCCCCTCGATAATTTCGGCAATACCTCATATCTTTAAATTATTGGGCCATCGCACGTCGTTCAGAGCATCAATTCTGACCTGCATGGTCTGCTAAGAGGTCAGCAACTGTTTCATACTTTCCGCGGTGTCTGCTTGCTTATGGGCAATGGAGGGGATATCAACCTCCGTAGCCTAGACTCTAGCTGTGACCGCACGTGATTTCCTCCCTTATGACTGACAGGTCTGCATTAAAGAGTGTCCTGATAATCATGAGGAGGGCTTTAAAGTCACCCTTATTAACCCCTTAAGGGCACATGATGGAAATATTTTGTCATGATTCCCTTTTATTCCAGAAGTTGTGTCCTTAAGGGGTTAACAGGGGCTGACAAGTCTTCCTCTGGCAGCAGAGTGTCATGGAGTGTCATGTTGGGGATGTCATCTGGGGTGTCCAGCATCTCATCCTCGCAACAGGTCTCCGATGTTGCGGGAACCTTCTCCTGTGAGAGCCTTAAACTTCTTGGCTCTTTTCCCCATAGTGGCTCGGGAAGTCAGGAGCGGTTTGTGGGGGGAAAAAGTGTGTGGGTGAGGGTTATTTGCCGTGTTATTCTGCAAATCTATTGCGGCCATCCGACATGCGTCTGCTCTCCATGACTACCAACCCTGCCCCCAGTTTAAAATTTACTCGCTCATTTCTCTCTCTGTTCCTGTTCTTTCACACTGTGCAAGCACATGCAGTAAATGCAGCTTGCAATAAATGATGCTGGGAGTGTGGGACCTAATTTCCCATGTGCCCAAACTACACACAAGGCCTGGGTACGTGAGCAAAGTCCAGCAGGCCAAATCTAGTCTGTGACATATGTACACCTCTGACATAATGAGACGAGGTTAAATTGAAACAGTGGTTCCCTTTATCGAATACTTGCCTGACGACATGCGCTGATCTGGATTGTAATGGCAAGTGTTAAATCTTTAATAAACATTTTAAAGAAAATGTAGTATCACTTGAAGAAAAAAAATATATAATTATGTCATTTGACGGAGAAGTGATGGCTGTTCTTTTATTTAGCACTACCTTTAAGGAGACTAAAGCAACTAAAGATATATTCCCCTAATTTCCTTCAAAAAGAAAAAGTCAGTACATTAATTTTATTTGTCCAGTGGCACATGGTGGATGAATTCAGTGTATCCATTAATATGTTACTTACACAACACTAAGTCAATAAAGCAATATTGAATGTGTTTTCAATGTACTCTCTCATGTTAATGGCTTTTATATCAAACAAGAGGCAGTGACCTTTTCTCAAGTACAACACTATGGGCTAGTTTTGATAGCTACTGCTAAAGAAGTATATATTAGCCTCCGAGGAATGGGTGAAATAAAGATTTCATTAACACAGTAGCATCTATTCAGCTGTAGGCCCTAACTGACATAACATGCTTTTGGCAGGCTAGAGAGACTTTTTTTCGTCTGCTTTGGACTGCATTAACGAGTTTATTAAAATTAAAAAATAAAGATGAATAGCATGTCCTGACCTTTCTGCTTTGGAATTACTGTCAGTCTTGCTTTGTTCAAGCTCTTGGCCGAGGCGTTGAAGCTCTTCCTGAAGTGCTTTCTCTCTCTCCACACTTCCTTGACATAATTTCAGCTCTTTCTCCAATGCCTTCATTTTGTCTTCCAAAAGTTTAAACTCATGCAGAATCAAATAGCTGACACCACAATACTTGCACACAGTCTCATCACGTGGCATCTGTAAAATCAAATGGCCATTAGCGCCAGTATTTAATTGGGGAAATAATTACATAATATGCACTTGACAAATAAAAAATTGCTGCAATTGTCCAATTCCCTGCTCAGGTGTATTCTAAATAAATATGCACCTATTTTTGGAAAAGCAGACTCCAAACTGCTATAGCAATTAGTAGCTATGGTTGCATGTAGTTAAAATGTAGTATATACAATACTAGGGTAATTAAAATCTTAACCTCAAAGGATCTGTTTGATGCCAACATAGTTCCACTTATGTCTATCCTGTCTTATTTACAGTCATGGGAAAAATAAAGTACACTATTTGCATTCTATGTTTTTACAGGATATAATAACAATCATCTGTTCCTTAGCAGGTATTAAAATTAGATAAATACAACCTCCGATAAACTAGAACACGACATATTACACTGTATCATGATTTATTTATCAAATGGAGACGCCATGTGTGAAAAACCCTTACCGCTTCCATATGAATTAAGAGGCTAAGCAGAAAACAGGTGCTCCTAATCAAATGCCCTTAATTGATCATCAGCAAGTGTGACCACCTCTAAAAAACCTGAAATTTTAGCAGTTTGCAGGTCTGGAACATTCAGGTGTGTGTTAACACAATGCCGTGAAGGAAAGACATCAACAACAATGAGAGAAGCAACTGTTGCCCATAAAACAGGAAAGGGTTAAAAGGCAAATTTCAAACAATTTAAAGTCTATAATTTTACAGTGAGATAGGTTATCCAGAAGTGGAAGACATTCAAGACAGTAGCCAATCTTCCCAGGAATGGACATCCCAGCAAATTCACCCTAAGGTCAGATCGTACAATGATCAGCTAATTGCCAAAAAACACGCGTTACATCTCAGACTCTACAGGCCTCAGTTATCAGGTTAAATATTAAAGTTCATAGCCTTACAAATAGAAAAAGAATGAACAAGTATGGTTTGCTTGAAAGGGTTGCCAGGAGAAAGCATTTTCTCTCTGGCTTAGGTTTGCAAAGTTGCATCTTAACAAACCACAACAGTGTCCTTTAGGCAGACGAGACCTAAGTGGAGATGTTTGGCTATCATGCACAGAGTCACGTTTGGCAAAAACCAAACACAGCACATGAGCTCAAACAGCTCATACCAACTGTCAAGCACGGTGTTGGAGGACTGATGATTTGGGCTTGTTTTGCAGCCACAGAACCTGGAAACTTTGCAGTTGTTGAGTTGACCATTAAATCCTCTGAAGATCAGAAATGATCCCAAGCACATCTTCAACAGAATGGCTGATGTCTGCATGCGCGGGAGCGACAATCTTTGCATGCGCGAGAGTACAGCATTGAGGTCAATGTTCCAAATAGACACAGCAGATTAGGCTCCGCCTTGTGTCAGACGGAGAAGAAATACAGAGACAAAGTAGTCCCTAATTTGTCTTTGTATATCTCTTGACTGGGTTAGAATTTCAGTGAAATTCCAAAACAGTCAGCATAGGTATTTCATAAAGATTCTATCTTTATGAAATACTCATTTTTAATATAGGGGTGCCAGTACCACTTTAAAATTGAATCAGGTTCCCTGTCCACCCACAACCTGGCCCTCAATAAGCCAGAGATTACAATATTATACCAAGTAATACCCACAATGGACAATTGTGATAGGCTGAAAGTGGTCAATTGACACTCTCCGCTAATCACCACCACCCAGCACAGAGAAAACATGTTGCTGAAGAATAGTGTTTAGTAGGGATGTGCATGGGCAAAAAAAAATCGGGTTCTGCACTTCCGAAATTCGGGACCTCGGTTCGGTACTTCCGAAAGTCAGGACTTCAGCAATTCCCTAGGGGTAGGGTTAGACTCCTGTCATCATTCCCTTAATTTTTCCTCCCTCCCTCTCCGGTTTTGCCACTTTTCAGAAATCCAAAGTACTTTGGCACTTCCAAAATTCGTCAATTCTGAAGCATCCGAATGGCCGAAATTTGTCAGAATTTGCACATGTCTAGTGTTTAGGGTTAAAAGGAGAAATCAGGTTTTTTGATACCAGATGTGTATACATAACACCATACATAATAGAAATAAAACTATTTAAAAAACTCAAATGTTTCTCAGTTTTACATTTCATAATTTCTACACACCAAGTGCACCTAAAGAAAACCAACTCAAAATAAATTCACTAATTAGTCTTTTATTGTTATATGTCCCAACATGTCTAGGATTTCAATTAATTTTTAGAAATTATAAATAAAATTTTGTAAGGACTGAATTATGGTTAAAAATATGTGTGGTCGAGGAACAAGACGCACGAGGGGCCAAAATGGCCGCCGACATGGCGGGGTACTTAGACTCTTCGGACGAACTGAGCCTAGATGAGTACACCAGCGGCATGTTCGCCCCCCACAAAGCAACCTGAACTGATCACAACAGACACGCTGAGAACAATGCTGGGTGACTTACAACGGGTGATCCAGGCAGATGTTGCACAGCTCCAGGCGGAGGTGACAGGCCTGATCGGGCGCATGGGAGCCATAGAGGCCCACACAGACAAGCAGGCCCAAGAAATTGCGGACCTACATAAAGAGCTACAAATGCTCAAAAAACACCAAGCAGCTACGGACCGCCGATTTGCGGCCCTTGAGGATCAAAGACGCCGCAATAACCTCAAGATCCGAGGCGTCCCAGACGGAGTCTTGCCAGAAGAACTCCCGCACCTGGTGAGGAGACTCGCGGGTACACTACTGAAGCCACAACAAGCGAAAGCCCTGAGCTTTGAGGCGATATTTAGAATCCCCAAACCGAGGACGGCCCCAGCCACGGCCTCCGGGGACCTGGTGGTGAGATTCCGATCTGGAGCAGACAAAGCGGCCATGCTTAAGGCCCTGCAGGGGAAGACCCCGCTCAACTTCGAAAATGCCAACCTTACCTTCTTTTCAGACTTATCTGGAGATACCATGCAGTGGCGCAGATCCCTTCAACCAGTCACGACACTCCTGAGACAAAATGATATCACCTATAGATGGTGCATGCCAAGGGCCCTACAGGTCCTAAAGGACAATATGATCCACACAGTCCAAGACCTAACGGAGGCTAAATGGCTGCTGACCACACTTGGCCTGCCAGAGAACTCCCTTATGCCGACAGGCCCAGTGGAAGCCAGAATCAAGAAGCACAACTGGGACCCCGCAAGGACCAAGCCATTTGTCCCGCTGAAGGCGCAGCCAGGCAACCCTGCTGAGAGGAATGGGGCTCCAAGCGGCACTGTACCGCCCTGAAGAGGCGCAGGTCGCTCCTACCTATCATCAGACTTTAGTTTCCTTCACACCCAGTTCTTTTTGTTTTTCTTCCCATGGACTTTTATTTTGTACCTGACGGCATCACACTGCTGGTCGCTTGAGAAACCTCGAAAAACCAGGACCTTCGCCTACCCAGAGAGAGGTACTCAGGAGGGACTTCGCAGAGCCACACGATAACACCCCAGGGCACTCGACTGTCTTGTGACAGTCGCCACCCCACACCCAGAGACTCTCAGTCCTCCATGCAGGACAGCCCGTAAGGACCCCCCAATGTCCATGATCGTTATTTGTTTATAATAGCGTTAAGGCCACAAAATTATCTTATCACTGTAAATGCGCATTTACTTAGAATGTTACAGCGCAGGGACCAAACTGACCGCAAAATAGGAACACGAGCTCAACCAGGCCCGAAACATTTTATAGAGCCTTGACCTTTCCATATGACTTAAACACGGGACGCATTCTTATACTCACCCATTCATATACTTATGGCAGGACTAACTAGATATTTAACCCTACCCTGACAGTACAGGGCCGTCTTTAAGGAGGGGCAAAAGGGGCAGCTGCCCCGGGCCCAGTTACTCCTGGGGGCCCCCTGCAGCACCTGAGGTAACCTTTAATACTGCTCTGGACCGGCCCGGGCCCCTGTTATATGGGGGGTGGCTGACTACATACTCACAGCTAGTCCCCTCACATACTGCCCTGTGAGTCTCTTTGTTTCCTGGGCATGCTGGGAGGAAGTGAGGTCAGATTGCTTCCTCCCAGTAAGAACTGATCACTTCCTCCTCAGTGCCACTGGGGAGGAGGCACACACCACATGGAGGAGGATACAAGCATTGTGGGGGAGAGGGACTGAGAAAGCTGATGGCAGACTCCCATCAGCCTGGGCCAGCAAGCTCTCACTGGACACCAGGGAAGCCACCTTTCTGTACCCAAAATGTAAGGAGACAGGAGGGTGGCTAAATATGTTTTGTTTTTTGTTTTGCTAATTTCTGATATCACTTTTATTTAAGTGTGTTGGTGGTTGTAATGTAACACACAGGGAATAAGTACATGTTAAAAATCCTAGAAGAACCTGACAGTTCTCTATTAAATATAAATTTTAAAAGTATTTATTTTAACATATTGCATCAAGTGTTATCAAAGGCTGTACACCATTTTCAAATGTCACTTATGCCAAATTCTGGACCAGGGTATGTAAGAACAGAGTTGAGACATTATATTGGCCAAGGTTGCTGGGAGTTGCTGTCCAAGAGCTGCTAGAAGGCAGAGATTAAAATATGTAAATGTACACATATATATGTGTGTATCTGGCTGTGTTTATGTCCTTGTGTGTATCTGGCTGTGTTTGTCTGTGTGTAGGTATACCTCATACACCTGTATGTGCACCTGTGTGTGTGTAAGTGTGCATTTGAGTGTGTGGTAATGCATACATCCCAGCATTTTAATCCCAACACAAATACACTCCTACATTCCATCTCTAGCACTGTACACATATACACCCCTGCATTTATACCTTTATGTATGTGTGTATCTGAGTGTGTGTGTATATACCTGTGTCAGTGTGTATGTGTATGTGCCAGTGTGTGTATATCAAAGTGCTTGTATCTGTGTGTCAAAGGGTGTGTATCTGAGTGTGTGTGTGTGTGTGTGTGTGTGTGTGCCAGTATGTGTCAAGGTGTGAGCATGTGTCAGTGTGAGCATGTGTGTATCTGCGTGTTAATGTGTATGTGTATATGTGTTATAGAAATCACACAACATGCAAACAGACCCCTGCAAACACAAACATTACAAACACACCAGTTTGCTGAAACAGTAATACTACACACAAATGTACACATGTATTTAAAAGACAATACATCCAAACACCCCCCTGCATGCAAATACAAACATTACATGCAAAAACATTCCTGTATTAAAACGCTAAAATTATATACAAATACCAACTCTACACACAAAAGTACACCTGCATTTAAAAGCCAACACTACAAACAATCACACATCCCTGCATTAAAATGCAAACACTACACACAAGTACACCACTGCATTCCAATGGTAACAGTACATACAAATACACTCCTACATGCACACATACACTCTATACAATAACATGCTGACATTCATTTGCACAAACACTGCTCAAAAATACAACCCTGCAAGGATGGTAGATCCCCAGCTGGCATAGCATCGCAGGAGTTGTATGACAGATGGGGATCTATCTTTTCTTTACTCTTGTGCTACAGGGCAGGCCTGAATTTTTTTTTGTTGCACCAAGGCACTCGCTACATTAGTTTCGTCTCTAGGTTGGGGTGGAGGGAGTGATTGCATGCCCAGGGGGCCCAAACAGATGCTTGCCCAGGGTCCAAGCAATATTAAAGACGGCCCTGTGACAGTACAATGGCCTAGCCGAACAGGGGTCATCTCACACGACATGAGTCACTCAAACATTTAGAGCAAACTAGCCGCAAAACAACATGGTTGCCATTAATACTGCACTACTCGTACGGCAGCGTAAGCCACACTAACGAAATAGGCGATACACACTTCTATTCTGACAACAGAAGCATTTAGCTAATTTTTCTTGTGTTTCTTATTTCATAATTATTGCTACAATATTTAAGACCTGACTACCTTACCAAGACGTAACCTGTCTAGCGTTCACTCTAAGGCACAAACCACACGCTCCCACTTAAACTGAGCCAAAACGAAAGGCTGACGTAGTCCCTTCTCATTACAGGGTGCGAATGACTTACAGCTTAATCGCACTACTATAGTACTACCCCTCATAGCACAAATCTGCTAAAACACCACTGTTAAAGCATATGTCCACCTATTGTTATTGTTATTATTTTACTCAACTAGTTGATATCACGATGTAAAGTAAGCTCATTTGTTTTTTTTTCTTTGGAACTTGCGCTTGTGAGAGCTGATGTGGCTGTACAAGCAATGTTGTAAACCTCTATGCACACCAAAAATAAAGAATTTAAAAAAATAAATAAATATATGTGTGGTCTATTCCTGTTTTTATAACGTCACCGATTTTATTTTGATTTTGTTTTCATGGAAGGGCACCTGTGAAGTAAATCCAGCCTTCCTGTAATATCACAAAAACATTGCAAAAACAAATGAGGCACACAAAGGCATTGCTGAGGTATTGATGTAGTTTAGCATAATTTATAGAATACACAGCAAAATGCAACCTGCATGTGTAAAACACAACATACCAAAAACCAATACTAGTGAAAAATGGTCCCATGGCTCCAAATAAATCATTTTTTTTAATAATTATTTAATTTTTGTTGTGCTTGGCATATCAAAGAGTACTTAACACACATTGGATAGTCTAGAAGTAAGAAAAAACAGCAATTTTTTTGTATAAGAAAGAAACATGAACAATGACAAGAGTAACACAGTGCAGATTGATAAGATCAGTAGGGTAGTACGGATGCAGGCTACGTGCACTGGGAATAAGCTTTATGGAGTACACAGCGACTAGCTGTATAGGCAGACAAGCTCCGAGTAAAGAGCTCTCAGAGGCCCCCCAAGCACGCTACGAATGAGAGCCAAACAAAAGAAATGAAAAGAGAATGAATAAAAATAAGCACAAAAGCTGTTTTGTTGGCAAGATGCATTGCAAGGGTTTCGTGTCAGAAAGAGGTAGTCCCTGATCCAGCCCTGGACTCACAGACCCTCCACAGAAGTCCCTGCACGAGGCTCAGCGGTCCATGTGCGCGGTGATGTTGGGGTACTGTGTGACATTCAGGTATGGGTAGCGGGAATCCCCTTGATAGTCCCATGATCCAGCAGGCTTTGCATCTCGCGATGAGTCTCTGCCTATTTCTTCGGTCCCCAATGTGTCAGGAGCCTCTCTCCTCACTATTAGCCTCAGTCTGCAGACTCATTGCACTTGTCTGGCTCTTCGGAGCAGCAGGCCATGGGCCTATTCTGGTTTTTCATTCACGTGGTACAGGACATAGTTATAATTATGGCTTGAAGGAGCACACGGCACCCGTCACCTTGTGGTCGCGTGAGTGACAGTAACTTGTTCAGCGGAGAAGCCGCATGTCTTCAGTGTTGCCAGGGAGCCTATAGGGAGCAGACCGGGGTAACCATTCGGTAGCACAGGTCCAGGGCAGAGATCGGCCGCATCCCCACTCACCCAGATTCACTAGGCCGCCAAGCCAGCTCAGGCTTCCCCGGTAGCGTTGACACCCGGGGGCAGCAATATACATTCCGGTAACACCTTGATTGGTTCAGGAGCATCCAGCGTTGTTGATGAGGGTACACACTGCAGGAATATCTGCTTTTGTTAGAGTAATTGCCGGAGCTCTCACTAGATGCCTCTGTCTGGCATGGCAGTCAGGACCCAAAAGGTATTTGTTTATATTGCTGTATGAAAGGAGATGTAGCGTAACACAAGAGGGATGGCGAGTGGACGAGGGCATTGCTGCCAGATGAGAGTGTCCTCGGTGTAAGTACTTGCCCATATGTCAAGTGCTGCTTTACTGCATGTATATGGGCTTAGATGCAATGAATTATATTGCAATAGTGTAGAGTGGATAATCATGTGCTATGCTTCACTTTCCCTCAGTGCTCCTAACAGCAGGGGAGAAAGCCAGTCTGGATCAGGATTGAGAGAAAGTTGGGTGTCACATGGCACCATTGTGCAACTTAACTGGTATGATTAATTTATTTTGCTTCTGTAGCATGAATCTAGTTTACAAAATACACTAAATGTTTTAATTTTTATATAATAAATGTATAAAGGTGGAACATACCATATTATGAAAACTTTAAAGGGATCCTATAGTGCCAGGTAAACAAAGCCGTTTTCCTGGCACTATAGACTTATTAGATTCCCCCCCCCCCCTTCATCGGGGACCCCCTCCCGCAATGCTGAAGAGGTTAAAAACCCTTCAGCCACTAACTTGAATCCAGCACCGATGTCCCTCGGCGCTGGGTCAAGTTCCGCCCACATCAGCCGGCAGGGTAGATCTAATGCGCATGCCCGGAAATGGCCATGCGCACATTAGACCTCCCCATAGGAAAGCATTATTTAATGCTTTCCTATGGCGAAGATCTGACGCTGGAGGTCCGATCCGTTTAGATTCCGGAAGCCCTCTAGTGGTTGTCTGTTAGACAGCCACAGAGAGCAGACATGGAACGGCAATGTTTTACATTGCAGCACTAATTGCAAAAGGTTCACAGCCAGAGGCGGCTCTCTAATTAGGCGGCCCGGCGGCCTGCTCAGTATGCTGCCCGGCCAGCAATGCCTATGCATGACAATCAGAGTTAAACCGTTGCTAAGTGCACCTGACAGTAAGAGGTCACCCTCTCCTCCTGCCACCAAAACAACTTCAATTAGTTGAAGATATTATGGGGTTGGTTCCTGTAACTTGTAGAACACAGAGATAGAGAATACTAAAAATGTAAGTATTGCTAATATGTTGTGTTTACAATGCTAGACTGTATCAAAGGAAAAACACGTGAAAGAAAGCAGAAGCATTCTGTACAAAATCTTCTTCTGCTGCTTTAGCAGCTACAAGACCACAGATGAAGAGGACGCTGAAAATATTACAATGGAAAGCATGAAAGAATAGGGCCTATGGTCATTTATGATGTTTTGAGATTAAATATTATTAATAATATGAAATAATAGAGCTGTGTGATTTGACTGATACTTTATAGCACTTTTAATATGCTTGTTCCACTGTGATTTAATTGCTTTTTGCTTAAGCACATCCATAAATATTATATATTGTTATCAGTGGCGTACACATGACCCATGGGGCCCGGTGCAAAAATTGATCCGTGGGCCCCCCTTTCCCCCTGCGCTTACTCGGTGCGGGTCGGGGCCGCAACACCCCGCGAATGCGGTATACTGCACACACACACCTAAAGGACCACTACAGACACCCAGATCACATCAGCTCAATGAAGTGGTCTGGGTGCCAGGACTCTCTAGTTTTAACCCTGCAGCTGAAAACATAGCTGTTTCTGAGAAACGGCTATGTTTCACTGAGGGTTAATCCAGCCTCTGGTGGCTGTCTCATTGACAGCCGCTAGAGGAGATTCCACGATTCTCACTGTGAAAATCACAGTGAGAAGACACTGAACGTCCATAGGAAAGCATTGAGTAATGCTTTCCTATGGGCGGTTTAAATGCGCGCGCGCCTCTTGCCGCGCATGTGCATTCAGAGCTGAGAGGCGGCGGGATCCCCAGCGCCAAGGAAGTCCGGCGGTAGAGAAAGGTAAATGCTGAAGACACACACTCTCACAAACAGACGCATACACACTAGCTAACAGAAACACTCAGCGACAGACATACATACACACTCACTTACAAAACATACACTTTCACTGACAAACACACACTCACTAACAGACACACCCAATAACAGACACACCCAATAACAGACACACCCAATAACAGACACACCCAATAACAGACACACCCAATAACAGACACACCCAATAAGAGACACACCCAATAAGAGACACACCCAATAAGAGACACACCCAATAAGAGACACACTAACACACACACACACACGTTTTTTTTTAAATTGAATCCCCCCAGCCTCCTTACCTTTTGGAGTGCTGGGGGGATTCCCTGGGGTCCAGTGGTGGTGCTGCTGGGCTCCTGGGGCTCCTGGGCGGGCGGGCGAGCGGACTGTCTGGGTGGCCAGCGCGCGAGGGAGCACTTTCCTCTCTTCAGCTCCCTCGCACGCCACGTAGGGATGCCGGAGCCGGAAGATGACGTCATCTTCCGGCTCCGGTATCAGTGCGGTGCGCGAGGGAGTGGAAGAGGTAGCACAAAGGGGAAAGTGCTCCCTCGCGCGCTGGCCACCCAGACAGCCCGCCTGCTGGGGTCAGCAGGGCCAGCCTCGGGGGGCCCTGAGGTGGCCGGCTCCTGGCCCCCCAGGAGAAGAGGCTGGCCCTGTGGGTACATACCGGGTCGCAGGGGCGGCCGGGCCCCTGGTGGGCCGGGCCCGGTCACAGCCACGACCCTGGTATGTACGCCACTGATTGTTAGGTTTGTTTGTTTTTTTTAAAGGGACACTATAGTCACCAGTGCAACTACATGTATTCCTAACCCTATAGGGTTAACACGGCCATCTAGCCCACCTGGGCCCCTCATGCCTCCATAAATATAGTAAAAATCTTACTGTATTCAGAAGCTGTTACTCTGCATGCTGTTAGACTCAGAAAAACAAGCAGTCTGCTGACATGTGGTAGCCTGATCCAATCACAGTGCTTCCCCATAGGATTGGCTGAGACTGACAAGGAGGAAGATTAGGAGCAGAGCCAGCATAATTCAAACACAGCCCTGGCCAATCAGCATCTCCTCATAGAGATGAATTGAATGAATTAATCTCTATGAGGAAAGTTCAGTGTCTGCATGCAGAGCAAGGAGATACTGAATCACAGGATGCTGTGCACAGTGCTGCCCTGTGCTCTGCTGACAGCAGATCTGAGTGGATGGAGGCTTATTATGCCTCCATCAACTCAGAAGTCCCTCTGGTTCACTCTGAGTGACTGCAACTGGAGGTGTTCCTAGCTTTACATGTAAACACTGTATTTTCTCAAAAAATACAGTGTTTACATGAGAGAGGCTGCAGGGAGCTATAGTTCTCACCTGAACAACCTCATTAAGCTGAAGTTGTTCAGGTGACTATAGTGTCCCTTTAAGTACTGATCAGGATTTCAGCTGATCAGGCCCGGACTGGCCATCGGGCACACCGGGCAAATGCCCGGTGGGCCGCGGTGGCCGTGGCCGGCAGGGAGATCACATGATTTCTCCTGCCGGTCTTTGCAGGGCCGGCACTGTCTGAACGCCGGCCCTGCAGTAGTCTACAGCGGGCCGGTGGGGAGATCAGTTATCTCCCTCACCGGCCCACATGCACGATAGTGCGGCCGCCGGCGGGGGAGGGAGGGAGCCAGCCTGCCAACAGAGGAACCCGGCGGAGCTTTAACTAACAGCTCTGCCGAGTTCCTCTCGCGAGATTCGGAGCGTTGCCATGGCAATGCTCCGGGTCTCGCGAGAGTGAACTCTAGCCTCACAGGCTAGAGTTCACTCACCACTAAGACCACCAGGGATGGATGGCAGCCCCAGCAGCAGGATCCCCTCTCCCACGCTAAAGGTAAGCAGGGAGGGGGGAAATAATCACCTAACTCACATCAGCCTCACAGACACCCTTAACACTCACACTCACACACACACACTGCACCCCTGACACACACACACACACACACTGCACCACTGACACACACACACTGCACCCCTGACACTCACAGCACACACACACACACACACACACTGCACCCCTGACACTCACAGCACACACACACACCCCTGACACACCTGCACAGCACACAGCACACACACACACACTGCACCGATGACACTCACAGCACACTCACACACACACGCACCCCTGAGGACTCACAGCACACACACACACTGCACCCCTGACACACACACACACACACACACACACTGCACCCCTGACACTCACAGCACACACACACACACTGCACCCCTGACACACACACACACACACACTGCACCCCTGACACTCACAGCACACACACACACACACACTGCACCCCTGAGACTCACAGCACACACACTGCACCCACACACACACACACTGCACCCCTGACATGCACAGCACCCTCACACACACACTGCACCACTGACACAGCACACACACACACTCACATCACCCTCACTCACACACACACAAACACACTGCACACCTAACACTTACAGCACCCTCACACACACACTGCACCCCTGACATGCACAGCACACACTCACTGCACCCACATACTGCACCCCTAACACTTACAGTACACACACACACACTGCACCAGCTTCCTCACACACACATAGCACCCTCACGCAAACACAGCACCCAATCACACACAGCACACACACACACAGCACCCTCACGCAGACAGCACCCATCACTCACACACTACACACCTCACACACACTGCACCCCTCTCGCACACACACACTACACCCCTTACACACACACACACAGCACCCTCACACACACTGCACAATATGCTTTCCTAGCATTTTTGTCTCCTGGTATCCCAACTATGGAGACACCAGAGACAAATTTCAAGCAAACACAGTGCGTAAGTATGTTATTGAATTTGCTTGCGCTGTGCAGAACAAATACAGGGTCTTTTTCTCATGCCAGAGCTCTTCAGCAGAGCTTTGCGCATGGTCTACCCTGGAAGAGCATTGAACCAACATGCTAACTTTGTGATGGGGCGTGCTTGTCATTGGTGATGACAAAACACACCCTATCTGGCCCAGCCCCCTTTGTAGTGGGCCGCTGTAATTAAAAAATGCCCGGGCCGAATTATCTTCCCAGTCCGGCCCTGCAGCTGATACATGATATGTGAATATAATACAACATGAACTGTGAATAAAATGTTAAAAAGTAAGAAAAAAAAAAACAAAACAAAAAAAAACTTAAATTGTTCACATTTTTCCCCCACAAATAATTCCTGCAAAATGAGTGCAGCTAAAGAAAAGTCGTTTTTGACTGTAAAAATTGTCTCATATGTCTAGGATTTCAATTACATTTTTAACTAGTTATAGGACAAATATTGCAAGCAGTGAAGCGAAGACTTTTCAAATTTGGTCTGCTGAAATTAATAGCAGTCACAAAATCCCAAACTGCTAAAAATACATATAAACTGTATTTGTAGAAAGTAGACCATAAGACATAAAAGCATTTTGACACTTTTCATTGAAGCGTCATGACAAACAGAGGCGAGGATAGCAAAAAACGGCACAGGAGAATATTGAGAAACACAAATTAATGCTTAGAAGATGATTATTGGGTACAAGGGAGTTTCAAGAGAATCAGGCTGAATACAATAATCTAACATTATATATATATATATTTAAAAAAAACAGTTAGAATTTGTATCTTGTAATACCTTTTTTATTGGACTAACAGAATTTTTTTTAATG